CGCTGTTTAGCAGATATTATTTTGTTTGTTTTCGTGTGTGTTTTGTTACTTTCGGCTCACGTATTTTACAAAGCCGCGTACTCCTCCGCAATTTTTGAGGAAGTGTCTGTTGGGATAATACTTAATACAAAACGTGATGAAAATAAATTGGAAGGAGAGACCAAGGGGTTTATGAGTCATTTTCAACGGGAGAATCTGCAAGCTTCTTTAAATAAAGTAATGGTTAGATGTCTTTATGAAATAGACCACTATATTGTATCCAAATGAAAAACTGAAAAAGCCAACAAAATCTTTTGACAACTCATACATTGGTTGGTAAGAATTAAAAACATTCGAATGTTTAGAGAAGAATGCGTGTGTGTAGCTTATATTGTCAGCAGAGCCGGCGAGGCGAGTACACGTGTGAGCTTGTTTTTTTAATGATGACAATCTTGTAAAAAACAAAACAACAACATTTTTTGGGGGCCTATTAGTAGACTTATTTTGAAGTAGGTCTATTTTTAAAAAAGGGAAATCCTGTTCGCAGTGAATTAATTATATGTAGCATTGCAAATACAGGGGTGATGAATGTCCAACGTAATAATATACTTATTTCCATAGGTCTACCGACGAGAATAAATAGTATAGTACAATTTGAGGGATACATATTATGGTTTCATGATAGATCATAGGCACATAACGATCTAAAAAAATGTTTAGAACTTATTCTTGTTCAATGTTATTACCTTCTTGATTCGAAATGGACAGTAATCAATGGAAGGAAGAACTGACCACACGTTCTTGTTATGGTGATCCACAAAACAATGCGACAGTGCCAGTGTTTTTGGCACCGTTATAAAGTGTAACCGCCGAGCTTCTCCTAAGCTGCAGGCGCAGCCTTCGCCTTGTTTTCTCACCCAATCAATCGATTACCCATGATCAAACTTACCGGCCCGAGCTCCACTATGTTTTGATAAGCCTTTAGGAGGATTTGCCTTTATCCTTCGCTTCAAACGAAATTCAGACTGAAGCAAACCATGTCACAACGAAATGACCCGCGAAAAGACTGACGAAGAAGAATTAGTCGGAGAGTGTGAAGTGTGAAGGCTAAGTTTACGACACACCTCGATCACGTTTGCAACAGAAGTTTAACACAGCGGTAGCGAGGACACACGCAGCATGCCCTGTACATTGCGAGGAAAAGTCCTGCCCAGACATGACCTATGTCGAACTGGGTCGTGCCAAGCATGGCACATGACAGCGGGCCTTCCCAACTATCGATCCCATCGGCCTTATTGAACCGTTATCGACAGCTTGTTGTGCTCTTTGTTCCCAGTATTTGCTCAAGTGTCTTTGACAGAACGTTCATGGCTTTCGTCGTGAAGGTTGACAGAACGGGGTGGGGTTTGTGGGTATATATCTCAGCTATATACTGGAACCTACAGTGTATGAAGCTTCTGTCTTCGGTCACTCTTCTTTTTGCACCCTCACGTTCCTCTCTCTCTCTCTCTCTCTCTCTCTCTCTCTCTCTCTCTCTCTCTCTCTCTCTCTCTCTCTCTATCTATCTATCTATCTATCAATCTATCTATCTATCTATCTATCTATCAATCTATCTATCTATCTATCTATCTATCTATCTATATATCTATCTATCTATCTATCTATCTATCTCAAAAGGACAAAAGGGAGACAGGGTTGCCAAGTGTTTGAATATGGATTGTGACTGTGATTTTTTAAAAATGAGAAAATGACCTACATGCTGAGTACTTATCATCCATCCCATTTGTTAAAAGGTAAACAGTGCCTATGCTCATTAACAATGGAAGCAAAATTGTATGTTGTATCTTACCTATCTGAAACACATGTCATTTTGTATCAAATAAAACAGGTGACAACATTATCATGGAATGTATATTCTATTTTATGAAATCCTTTTAGGCCATTATAAGAGCAGTCAAAACAAACAACTCCCTTTCTCTCTCTCTTTCTCTCTCTCTCTCTTTCTTTCTCTCTCTCTCTCTCTCTCCCTCTCTCTCACACACACACACACACACACACACACACACACACACACACACACACACACATAGGCTATACATACATACATACACACACACACACACACACAAACACACACATAGACACACATGCACACATACACTCGTATGCTCAAACTCGTTTTTTAAAATTTAGATACAGACGTGAAGGCCTAAACATAATATGAGTGCTACTAACACGACTTAGATGCTTTGTATCCTTTTTTTTCATCTTGGAAAAACTATAAATATAAAAGCATCTCTCCCGTCATCCATGATCTGTGCAAATACATGCACACGTATAGTCTTTTCGGACCTCAGTTACCTTCCTGCGATATGAGTGCATTATTATAGTGTAGATCTATCTGGTTTTCTACAGTAAGGGTTCATGTAGCCAGAGTGTTAAAGTTTTTGGCAAGGTAATGATAAGCTTCCTGGCTAAGCTGTCAATCTTTCAAGATTAGATCTAATATATTTTTTGGATAATAATAATAATAATAATAATAATAATAATAATAATAATAATAATAATAATAATAATAATAATAATAACAGCAGAAGCAACAACAATAACAACAACAACAACAATAATAATAATAATAATAATAATAATAATAATAATAATAATAATAATAATAATAATAATATTAGTATATATACTACTACTACTACTACTACTACTACTACTACTACTACTACTACTACTACTACTACTACTACTACTACTACTACTACTAATAATAATAATAATAATAATAATAATAATAATAATAATAATAATAATAATAATAAAAGTTGTTGTTTCTACTTCAATAACCTATATGTGGGCTCTCGTGGCCAAGAGGTAAAAGTGTTCGTCTCTCATTCAAAGGTCCAGGGTTCGAATCCGGGTAGCAACGGAAACATTTTCTTCTCTAAAATCGTCTCGTTTCACCTCCTTTCCTGCTCTCTAGCAATGTTCTGTCGTCTGCTTAGAAGCTTTCGTCTCCATTTTCTGCCCCCCCCCCCACCCCCTCACCTGCTTTGTCCCTCCCTATACGTTCTTATACTATCCCCCTCCTCTAGGCTCCTGGCTCTTTCTGAGGCCTTTCTACTGCTACTCTTTGGCTCCTTCCTACTGCTGTCTTTCAGCCGCACCCCCTGATCTTCCGGTAGGAAAGATCTACTCCTAGTCTTCTCGGAGAAGGACGAAAAATATCGGAGGTGTCGTGTGAAAGTTGCGCGCGTTAAAGATCCCTTGGAGGTCTAAAATCGATAAGAGTAGGCGTCGGCCGCCACCCGGGCAGCATTCAAAAATCCCTACCAACTGATAATGTTTAATGTGTCCCGCGCGCTCATACGACCTTGTGCAGTTGCGAGCGCCGTAAAACACTTAGGCTACCAAAAACACCACACAAAAAAACGCGAGGCCAACTGGTGTGACAACCGCTTCCCTTTCAAGCAGGAGGCATTGGTGTCTATATTTAGATGTTTTGTTATATCCTTATTGCAGATCTAATGTATAAAAATTAAGTCCATCTTTTGGGATCTTTATTTGGGCACAAAATGTATTGAAGCCTGTCATTATTATAAAAATAAAATTAATGTTAATACATTATATATGCAGTCTCTGGCCTAATACAAACAAGCTAGACCTAACCTAAACTGCTAGACTGCAACACACTTCATCGGGACCGTCGTCAATGTTGGACGACGGGATATGTTTTGTGATCCAATCAACAGCTACCTCTCATGCGCGCAGTTCAAAATAGGCCTGCTGAACGAAAGTTGAATGATGATGGTGGTGTAGTGTAGGCTAGTCTACCTGATACCGATTGACTGTTGAAGGATTAGTTGTGTTTTTAACCTTTATTCACCAGCCATGGATGGCCCGAGGTACATAATTACTTAATTTCTTTGTTGCAGTTGTAAAAGATGAAGACTTTGTTATATAATATGAATGACGTTTATGATTCTTGACCATGAGCTCGAACGTCGAACGAACCGTGTTATTTTACTTCACACTAATGATGGTTGGCTTTACGCATGTTTCATGACATGATGTCTCTGTCTGTTGTGTGTCTGGCTATGGTTATAGTGTTATAATGTTATAATAATGGCATTTTTGAATGTTGTCAGTATCCTCTTTCTCTCCTGTCTGGAATTTCATCGTAATATCTCAAGATCTAGATCTAGATTTTAGTTTAGAGTCAAGAGTAGACCCTGTGTGTTTGGGTTGAGTTCCTGCAACAACAAAAAACACGCTCTGACTGCGACAAGGGGCAGGGGGGAAGCAGGAAGTGGGGGTTTTGATTGTTGAATCTTCAAATTTGACTTTGGAATTGATTCAGTTCTCATGAGGCCTCATCAGCTGTCACCATTTATTCATAATTTAAATCAAGCATCTAGCCTAGATCTTGTGCGTCTGTCTTTTAATGTTAAAAAAACATTACAGTTCAGTACAGTTACAGTGGTGAGTGGTGTCTACCTACTCTAACTCTAACAGAAAACGGACTTTTGCAGAGTGTGTACGTACACGGTAACCGGGCACCTAGCCTCAATATCCACGTACACGGTAACCAGTAACCGGGCATGTAGCCTCAATATCTACGTACACGGTAACTGGGCATGTCATAGTCTCAGTGTCACGTACAGCAGGTCAGCAGGGCAGGGTAACCGAGCAGTTCAGAACTCGAAGTTCAGTTTTTGTCATCCGGTGTTGCCTTCATCCCCACCCCTCCCCCGACTGTACCTTTAAAAAAAATCAATAATCCCCCCATTCCGGAGCCCTACTATACTTCGCAGCGCACAGACTTTGATTACTTTGAATGAAGGTAACCCCAACAGGTACTCACATTACTCACAAACAAGATGTGATGCACACAAGCAGGTTCACTGACTGGTCACGATAGTGAGCCCGACAAGACGCTTATTTATGACTTTCTTTTTTTTTTTTTCAGCGACTGCACAGCACAGGACAAATATTGATATATTTTCATTTCGGTTACCGTGTACGTAGATACTGAGTGAGGCAAGGTGCCCGGTTACCGTGTACGCAAACTGAGTCTCGGTGCCCGGTTAAAACCCAGTACGTAGCTAGATACTGAGTCTAATTTACCGTGTACGTAGATACTGAGACTAGGTGCCCGGTTACCGTGTACATAGACACTTCGAACAGAAAACCCCTGGGGAATGCAGGCCTTTTTGCTGCTGTTCTGCTAAGGCGAATGTTGCTGTTTGGAGTTTAACCAAATTGGGGGGGGGGGGCTGTAAACTGCAAGGATTATGATACCTCACACACACACACACACATGCACGGGTCCTGCCTTATTGCAGGGAGGATGTGATGTTATGTCAGAAAGTAAGAACATCTATTTATTTATAAGCAGTGTTGGAGCATCAGTTGTAATACATTAAAATCTATCTCGCCGGTAATTTATGCACAGTGGCCAAGACTTTTCCCCTCAGGCTCTTGGAGGAAGGTGGCTCTTGGTGAAAGTGTGTGAACTTACCCTCTACTCATTTTTTGCCATGGCAGTTGTTTTGTGGAGGTGAAAAAGAGGTGTATGCACACACACTGAAATTATAGGCCAGTGTCAGTGTTCGGTTTTTGAATCTTCAACAAAAAAGTCGTCAGATAATTTTCTCTTTATTGCAACCAAGATTACTGTTAAAGGGATTTGTAATAGAGGAAAAATTACGTTACACAACGGGGTGTCTGTTAGGTGGATGTTGCTCTTAACTGGATTGCTGTTTAAGTGGATACCACTGTATCATGCATTTGTCTGTGTGTGTATCTGAACATGATGTGTTATGTCAGTGTGGGCCTGTTTTTGAAAAATAGATACTTTGAGGGGGGGGGGAGGAGGAGACAGATGGGACACATAGACTGTTCTGTAGCAAGTTCCTTTTGAGGTCTGTTGTTACCTTCTGGATAAACACCTTGGGCCGCTAATATCACCATTATTTTTAGTGGTCCATGAACAATTTGAGGCGGATGCTCTGGTGTGGTTTGGTCCTTCTTTCGTTTCTTATATATATGTATCGTTCTGGTCTTTCCTTTTTTTTTTTTTTTGTGTTTGTTACTCTCTTGTAACCCCTCTAATCTTTTGCACTTATAATTAATATATATATATGACCTTTGTCACAGTGTATGTGCAGTAAAACTTACTAAAACTAAGTGAATGATTTTGTTGTGGGAGGGGCAAATGGACAATGACAGGTTGCATGCCTCACGACTAATCCTTTTAAGCGAAAGATTTGTTACGTGATTGTTAAGGGGGGCTTGGCATTTATATATCAACATGTTTTTTTAATCCATTCTTTTTTTTTTTAACTACTATTAGATCTACCAACTGTAACCTTAGGTGAAAATATTTCGATTCAACCATGCATTATTTTGTCCAACCTCTTCGTTACCGTGGAGATGGGGGCCGTCTTGAAAAATAAACAAAAAATACGTGCATTTTGTGGTATATCACCATTCCTATAATTTTCACTCTTTGGTAATTTTTCTGCTTAAAATGTCTTCTAGTGACATAGTTACATAAAGAAAAATTTGATGTCTAATTTATCCTTTTTTTGGTACTTTTAAAAGCCGATCAATGTGAACCATATATTTTTATAAGAAAATACACCCTCCCACCCACTACTAAATATCAAAGTGTAAAAAAAAAAGTAAGACATATATATGGTTCAAAAAATAAAAATCTTTCTATTTGTAGAAATGTATAAAAGCCAGCCCCTAGCTAAATTTGAAGACTTATCTCCAGAAATAGTAAAATGGTGATGTACCAACTGTGAAACAAGACCTGAAAAATAAAGTTTTGAGAAAAATGACGTTTCAGTTTACACTTCTTAGCTGACATGCCAATGCTATATTAAGTGGTTAGTAGCCAAATAATTAATATACCAATGAGTGTTCTGAACCTAACTTTAACAATTAAAAGCCCCTGAGGGGTAGTAGTTAGCACTCTGCTGTTCCTCTTTTTAAAAATCTTTTTCATAGCAGTTTACTGTTTTCCATTTAAAACAAATTATTTCAACCAAATGTACTTTCCATCTATATTTATGAAATAATTAATATTTTTAAAGTAAAAATAACGCTATTTAAAGTCATTTCCGAAATGTGTTTCCTTTTTCTGGAAAAAACATACACAGTGGCAATTCATGCAGCAGTTTCTACCGACCAACCACATCAAAGATTGTTTTGCGCTCGTGTTCCTATTTGAATGCAGTAATCGACTGATATGGCTGATTCGAATACTGTTGACTACTGAAATCGTAATCCTTCCAACGGTATACAACACGGCTATGTTTGGCTATGATGGCAAGCTCTATGGTTCAAACAATTTCTCTTTTGTGAGTTCTTTTCAACGTTCGCTTTACGGCTGACATTTTTGGGATAGTGTGTTTCCTAAAATACTAATTAAAGACACCTTTATGGTGTTTTTCAACAGTGTGACCGATACCGTTGTAAAGTAGGATGGTTCAACTTTCAGAATATGCCATAACCTCGATTTCAATATATTTTACAAGAAAAACGATGTGAAACGGACTGGAATCGACCACTAACCTGACCTATGTTCTGGTCAGCGAGTGGCTCAACAATAAAGGCAGCCGAATGGATTCTGATGGTCTGCTTGTCTAGTGTTAGGAGCAAAATTTATAGCAATCCATCGGTGCAGGGGATACAATAGTCACTGTGGGGAAATCATGGACAGACATGGATTACGAGACAAATGACTACAGAGAAATATTCCAAAACTTCTGTTCTTTCATCATCTTTGTAATTGGAGAGAAACAATTTTCCCACATAAAAGGATTCATAAAGGCTACTTGGGTCTCGCTGGATGGAACAGCGGAAAATCAGATTGACCAATTTTGCATTTCCCAAAAGTTTAGACGCTCATTGGACGACGTCCAAGTCTTACGAGGAGCAGGCATCGCATCAAACCACCATTTGATCCTTGGGAAAATGATACTGAAACTGAGAAGATATGCGTAAGTCACGTCAACTGGAAGTCGTCAAAAGTGTGAAGTGAGCCTTCTGAAAGACCCAGTAAAGAAGAATGAGTTCAAGTTGGAACTGAAGAACAGATTTCGATACCTTCAAGATCTCTATGAATTTGACGTAAACAAACACTGGGACAGGATAAAAGAGGCTGTAAATGCAACTTGCCTGAGCACCCTGGGACCCAAAGACAACACCAGGAATGAATGGATTTCACAGGACTCTTTTAGACAAAGTCAAAAGAAGAAGAGAGCTGAAGGCCAAAGTCAACAACAGCTGTACCCGAACTGAGATACTCACTGCACAACAAGAGTACACTGAACTAAACCGGGAGGTAAAGAAGGACAAGAATACCTGGCCGAAAGGGCAGACGGACACATGCAGATTGTACAGCTGGCAACAAAAACTCTTTGTGGTAGGTTCAGCGAGCCCACTCTACCAGTGAAAATCAAAGGGGGAAAAGACTAGCTTCAACCCAGAGGGGCAACTTAACTGATGGAGAGAACACTTTGATCAACTCTTGAACAGACCACCTCCAGAAAACCAACCAGAAATTCTTCCAGCCAGAAATGACCTCCCAATAGTTGCGGAACCACCTTCGAGAGACGAATTTGCAGCAGCTATAACATCACTGAAGTCTCACATGGCAGCTGGTCTCGACCATATACCATCGGAAGCCCTTATGGAAGATAAAGATACATCAGTGGAAATTATTATGCTCTATTTGAAAAGGTTTGGCAAGAGGAGAAAATACCATCAGACTGGAAGGAAGGCCACCTAATCAAGCTGCCTAGGAGACCTCAGCAATTGTAACAACTACAGAGGCATAACACTCCTGTCCATACCTGGGAAAGTCTTTAACAGGATACTCCTGTAGACAATCAAGCTGGCAGCAGGCGAAAAGCTTAGAGGAAACTAGGCAGGATTCCGCTGAAACCAATCATGCGTGGACCAGATCGCTACTCTGCCCATCATTGTTGAGCAATCGCTTGAATGCAATTCACCACTCCTGGTCAACTTCATTGATTATGAAAAGGCGTTTGACAGCGTGGACAGGGAAACTCTGTGAAAACTCATGCAGCGTTATGGAATACCTGACAAACTCGTCGAGCTTGTGAAGGCCACTTATCATGAAACAAACTGCCCAGTCTTCCACGAAGAAAAACTCAAAACCATTCCAGGTACAGACAGGTGTGCGACAAGGATGCTTGCTCTCACCTTTTCTCTTCATACTGACTATTGACTGGGTCATGAAAGAAGCCACCAGAAGCAAGCGCAATGGAATACAGTGGATCTTTTGTCAGCAGCTGGGCGACTTGGACTTCGCCGATGACCTTGCACTGCTCTCTCACACACATGCTCAGATGCAAGAAAAGACCAAGGAACTCAACAGCCTATCAAGGAGTGTTGGCCAACGTATACATCCAGGCAAGTCGAAAGTAGTGAAGCTAGGAAAAGTTTCGAGCCCTGCTGTGACAGTGGGAGACACTCCCCTGGAAGAAGTGGACTCCTTTACCTACTTTGGAAGTGTCATCGATGGTAAGGTGGAACTGAGGCAGATGTTAAAGCAAGAACCGCAAAGGCAAGTTCAGCATTCAATCAACTATCAAAAGTCTAGAAAGTGAGCAACATCTCACTGCGCACCAAGATTCGACTCTTTAAATCCAGCGTCAAGTTTGTCCTTCTCTACTGTACTACGGCTGCGAAACTTGGAAGACAACAAAGACAAATAAAATGTAGGAAAAGATTGTTCTGGTGGTTGTCTTGAAAAGGTGGCTTTTAGACTTAAGTTCAATGGTACTGAAGTGTTTTTATAAAACAAAATGCTACATAATCATTCCAGCATTCCTGGCCTAAATCTAGGCTAGCCCTGCTTGTCAGCACCACGATTGCTGTTTATTATAATTCATTATTAAGCTAAATATGTGTAAACTTCATGGATATTTTCATGGTTATAGGTAGGCAACTCAAAAGGATTCCCAGTACCTTGGCGCCTGTTAAGAGTACTTTACAAGCGCACTAGTTGACCAACACCAGTTTTTGTGCCTGACCTATACTCCTTTAAAAGATTTAAAGAATGTCATTCCTTTGTGTGACAAGGTATTTTATAGAGTCACCAAAACACCAGACACAAATGATTAACGGACATTTCCCTTTTCCCTGGGGTGTTTTTTTTTTTGGGGGGGGGTAATGACACTTAATGACACTGTCCAAGATGTCGTACTGTCTAAGACAACCGCTTTTCTCCTTGACAATGGGTGGCCATCATAGACAGTTTCGACTGTATTGTGTACTTGATTTCACCATCTAAACATGAGACAAATTTAATATTGTTGTGGATTGAGTGAAGAGCAAAAGTAGTTTGCTTTACTATTACTACAAGAAATTAGCGCTAAATGTCTTTGTAAGTTCTGTCATCGATTGTTTGTACTGAGGTGAGTTTATTTAATTTTTTTTCCAGGAGTCTCAGTCCTACCCGAGAGCAGCAGCGATTTGCCATCAATAAAGTCGTGGAAGCCTCACTCAAATCTTTACATCAGATCTGGGGTGAAATGGGCATTGATGAGAGCCAGAAAAAAGCTCGTGGTGACATGGCAGTTGAGCATGTTAGAAATCTGATGGGTGACATGGTGAAAGAAGAAGAGAACATGAGGAACAAATTTGCTAAGACTGTTGAGGATTTCACCGAACAACTCAACCAGCTTTGTCTGGAACTGGCTCTTCCACATGTCAAGGTGAGGTGTTCTAGAGGTTCTGTAATAAGAAAACAAAAGTCCTTGAAAAAGACACGATCAGTTGTTACAAAATTTTTTAAAAATTTTTAAAGAAAATTCACTTCTCACTAGCCAAATGAATATATGCTTTGTGCTCCTACTCTTCACACACACACACACACCTAGAAATTGGAATTTGTCTTTGCATTAAGCCCCACCCCTTGATAAATGATTCCCATTTTTCATTGAACAAAACTTTGCAGTGTTCATAACATTACATAACTTTCTAGACCATGTAATGCTCCGCTTCTTCTGTACAAGTGTATATTGTGGGTGGTTGGCAGGGGCTCCGGTGTGATTTGCTTCTTTTTTTTCCTATCAAACAACTATCATCTTTAAAATCTCTCCTCCTTTTTTGTGTTTGTTACTCTCTTGTAACAACTCTAATCTTCAGCGGCACTTATATGACCTAATTGTGTTGCAAGTGCTATAAAACGCTTGCTAAAACAAAAACAAGTGGATATTGCTGTCTTTTAATATTAATTGCTCATTATCTTGCTTTGGGGGGGTGCAAAAAGTGGGCATTAAAAAAGGCTGGACCAGATGTCAAATGTTTCAGCTTTTAATTTAATAAGGGGAGATTATTTTGTTCTTATTGGTTCCTTAAAGTCTAAGATCACATTTGCCTGACAGCCATTTCTATTTGATTCCCAAGCTTTTGCATGCTTAGAATCTACTCTTTATTGTCAGAACTTTTTGACTGATTGCAGATGGCAGGAGGGTTGACAATGGTGCAGCAAGAGAAGATACTGCGAGCAAAAGTGGAGACGATGACCAAAGAAAAGAACGATCGTGTCAGCAAATACAAAGAGCTCCATGCTCGTGACTTGCATCTGTGTGAATCCATGAGTACTACACCTTACTATGTACCCTCAGGGTCTGTGCCTACACTAGAACAGCTGAAAGAGTTGGAAAAGCATGTGAATGCTTCGCAGGGTGAAAAGGTATGTTCCCGTGACATAAACTGGTCTTGTCGTCATTCTTTCTGACTTTCCTATCTCTTATCTTCAACCTTCCTAATGAAGAATGCTTCCTAAGACTGGACTACTTTTTGTTTATTTTGATATCATTCTCATACACCATGTCATGTTTAATTCAGTATTGTCATATGGTGTTGAAATTTTTAAGTTTCACAATTAATTTGTCAGAACTTTCTTCCTGATTTTCCTATGAGTATTGTTATGGATTTTTAGGATTAAATCGACTTCTTCTTAGTAGTCTGTATGTATTTATTAGTGTAGATAGAAAGCTAGGCTGGAACACCATGTTAAAAGATTCATGGATACACCTTTCTCTTCTATCCCATCATGAGTGATTTTTCCATCTTTGTTAATTTTTTATTAAAATTTCAAACAGGATAAACGTCACGCAGAGTTTGTGAGCACCAAGCAGAAGATAGTGGATCTGTACAATTCCCTTGAAAATGACCCTGACACGTCTTTTGGTCGTGATCTCTTGTGTGAAGAAGATGACACCTTTGTTTTGTCCTTACCAAACATGGAAACTCTAAAGTCTCTACACGAAGAGGTAAGAAATTATAAATATAAATGAATAAATGTATAAAATATCTTTGCAACAAATGCTGATGAGCCATTTTCCAGGCGCTGGAGGGGCAACATTGCTACAAAAATTTTCATACTAATGTACGCATGCTTTTTCTGACTTTTAAAGGAATCTATGTTGTTTTTGTCTAAATTTCCAATTGAAAAGATAACCAGATACAGCATTTGTAGAGGATCATTGTATCAATTCTGGTGGGGGACATGCTCATGATAGCAAAAAGACATTTAGGTGCAACGTAAATGTGTTTGCCTGATATTTTTTTTCAGTGACTTTAAATATTGATGTGATATGATATATGTTAATGTGTTTCCCTATGATTTCAGCTCCAGAAGAAAAATCAAGAGATGAAGAAGGAAGCAGCTGGCTTATGGGATCATTTGAAAGCATTGTGGAATCGACTTGAGACTCCGGACATTGATAGAGAGGAATTTGAACTGAACAAAGAAGGCCATAGCAAGAGTGTCATTGCGGCTTTGAGGGCTGAGATTGAAACATGTGAACAATTGAAATTTCAAAACATGCAGAAATTTGTTCTCGGAATTCGCAATGAACTTGTTACTTGGTGGGATAAATGTTACTTCAGCCAAGAACAACGAAATGCCTTTAAACACTATACTGATGGTGAGTTTATTTATTGGGGTGGGGGGGTGTTCCATTTTAATACGTTGATGCGTTTTTTGAAAAGCATATTAAATTATTTTGACCTTGACATTCTACTGAATGTGCTCTACAAGACCAAGAGTATAGAAAGCCAGTGGGCAGCGTCAAAGGTATGAATTAGCATGCAGGAAGCATGATTTGATTTTATATGTCCATGCCACTTCTCAAAATCTATGAGCTCCCAAAATTTTGAATGATCTAAATGTATTATATTGAAAGTTTCATCGTTACTGTGGGGGGTTACTGTTACTTTATTTTTAAAATATATGTGCAGCAGGAGTCTTTATAATAGAACAGATTGTAGACCCATCTAACTGGGTTCCCACACTCTCCCCTCAAGTGAACAATTGGTGGTGAGCATGTGTGTTTATTATGAGGTCATTAAGTAGAGATGTATAGTTAGTTTTTGTTTTATAATGAAGTTAGGTATAACAGGATTTAGTGATATTTTTTTTAGCGTCCAAAAGTTCAGAACACTTTACCAGAGCTTTGTGACTGTTGCATGACCCCTTAAATGGGGTCCATTGCTGATTTGATTCGTCTAGCATTATTATCATTATTTTAATAAAGATTTATTGTATTCTGCTCCAGAGGATTTCACTGAACAACTTCTGGATGTCCATGAGAAGGAACTAAGCAAAGTGCAAGAATACTATAATCGGCGTCAACACATCTTGGAAAAGATTGCACAGAGAGAGAAACTCTTCAAAGAAATGATTGTATTTGATGTAAGTTTTCATGGCTATCTTTTCTCTTCACAAACCACTTAACACTCCTTGGACTTAAGTTGTTGGTTGACTTAGCCCATTAAAAAAAAACTTTTTTAAAAATCTGATGGAGGTCCCTGCTCATTTCGTTAAGCATCATTGTGTTGTGACCATGTTTATTAAATTTTGAAGAACAAAAGGCTAGTTCACTGTTAACAGATGGCCACATTATACAAAGGCGATCTCAGACAGTCACTGAGTGTAGGCGTCAGTCTGCATAGCAAATTTGAGCCCTGAGGAAAAAAAGACAAGTGCAGTGGGCAGGGAAACAAGCATCAAGTTCATTGTTCAATATGACCCTGTCCGACGCAGCCTTGTAGCCCCTCTCCATCCAGCATGTGATATACCTTAAGTTCTTGCATTTGGCTCAAATGGGAGTGCGATGTATGGGGAGAACAGGCATTGGCATGCTCAAACTTTACAGTGATCCCATTTGGGATAAACATTTATCTACTCGTCGGGAGTTAGAATTGAGATGTGATCGCATTGCCAAAAGTAGATGATCAGCTGTGTGTGCCTGGGATTTTTGTTCAGTAAATTATGGTCTAAAATGTGGGATCTTAGCCAAATTTATTTCCTTCATAGCGGGATTTCAGGAGTGACGTGACGTGTGTAGTAAAAATTCTGTTGTCTTAAACTTAAAACTATGGGGTCTTAATCAAACGAACGGGGATCATAAGTATCTTAGGCGCAGTCTACTATTCGCGGATTATGCAGGCATGGTTGCTTAATAAGTTGTTTTTCTCCATTTTCTTTACACCCATTTTGCTTGGGTAGATAAAATATTGTGTGTCTCTTCTTCTCTCAAGAAAACTTTGATTTGTCTATTGTACAAGTTAAAGTCACTTTTTTTGATTGTCATCAGAGAAGAAAAGGCTGGCTGCCCTGGCAAAGTTTGAATAAGGAATCCTTATTATGCTTTCTGTGTGCTGCTACTTGAACGGTAATGAACATTTATGCGCTGTTTAACTGCTCTATTCTGTTGTAATGTTTTTTGTTTGCCCAATATTTGTCTGGTGCTTCAATATATTTGATATAGTGCTGGACATTTTTATATTCTTCAATTGCAGGAAAAGGCTAGTGATCCCAACAGATTCTTTAATGACAGAGGGGGAAAGCTGCTTCAGGAAGAAAAGGCTCGTAAAAAACTCATGAAAGAATTGCCTAAGGTAAGTTTGTTTCCATTACAGCACTGAATCGCGTTTTCAACAGGGTTTTGGTTTGTTTTTTGTCATTGTTTGAAGTTCAGGTTTTCTACTCTTCGTAGTACAGTCAAACCTGCACAAACGGCCAGTTTCCATTTCCCCCTTGCGTTTTTTTCTATATAATTTAACTGTGTAAAACGGGCACCTGTCCAACGTGGCCGCTTCCGCCATATTTAAACACACAACCCCTATCACACCAAGCAATAACACATGTCTTAAACGGCCACCGTAGTGACTCCATTATGTTTTGTCATAAATTGTGCATTGTCCCCTGGCGTTGTATGCGAGCTGTCATAATTCAACCACCTGTTCTTGTTGTTAGGTAGTCCCTCCAACGATCATGTTGTGTAGGCCCCTCCCACTGTTGACCAATAGGTAACAAATTTTCTGCTGCTGGTGAGGTAAGCATGTGATTCCCTCATAACCCATAAAAGCCCCACTCAGAACTCATACACAAATCGTAAGTGAAATGAGTGGTCACTGTTTACCCAGTCTGTAACAAAGTAACAATGGGCGTCGATATGAACTTGCGACAAAAGCGCTGCTCGTTCTCCGAGTGGTGGCGACCCATGTTTCTTTTACATGGGTGGCCGTCTTACGCAGGTTCGACTGTATAGCCAAAAAATTTCATGATTTATATTATGGAGAATAGAAAAGGAAGTATCAGCAGCAAACAGATTTTTGTCTATTCATTGGTATTTTAGTTCTTTATACTTTCGTGTGTTTTGACATAATAAGCACTCCTGGCATAGCATGGGTGGAGGACATAGCGTATCCTGTATGACTCTTAAGTAAACATGATGGAAAATGAAACTTTTTTAAGAATGACATTTTGCATTTGAAAAACTTAATCTTTCTTGAGCTTTTTGTATTTTATTTAGGATATGACTGGGTCTTTTTTAAATGAGTTTCACTTCAAATGACAGGTGGACATTTGAAGAAAAAAGTTTTGAAAATTTTCCAGAAATCATTCTGCTAGAAATACACTAGAATCTAAACATCCAAAGCTCTCTTTGAATTGCTACAGGTAGGAATAAAAAATTGAAAGCTAATTGCACCATCAAAATGTTAGCACCAAGGCGAAGGTGACACTTTCTTTCTTTTTTCTTCTTTTTTTTCTTTTTTCATTTTTGTTATGATTTGTAAAAGTTTTCGCTATGTTCTTGCTTATTATAGCTTAGATTGTGTTATACCGCATTCAAGGAGAAAAATGTAGGAATTACCTGTGTTAAATAAGCCTTAATTTATATTTCAGGTGGAAGAGGAGGTCACAGAGACGGTGCTAAAATGGGAGAATGAAAACAACAAAGAATTCTTGGTGCATGGCATGAGGTTTCCCCAGTACACAGTAAAACAGTGGGATGATTTCCATCTTCATAAAGAAGAACAGAAGCAATCCAGGGTAAATATATACTGGTCATTTAATAGAGTCTGAATGTTTTAAGATACAGCTTTCTTTTTTCTGTAATCCTTTTCTTCTCTCTCTCTCTCTCTCTCTCTCTCTCTCTCTCTCTCCCTCCCTCCCCCTCTCTCTCTCTCTCTCTCTCTCTCTCTCTCTCTCTCTCTCTCTCTCTCTCTCTCTCTCTCCCTCCCTCCCCCTCTCTCTCTCTCTCTCTCTCTCTCTCTCTCTCTCTCTGTTTTATCATGTATGATTTGTAGATTAGTTTAAACTGCAGAGGATTAATCATTATGCCACATGTCTGTCGGTTCTATACTTGCATCCTTTCTTATATTAGGTGTTGATTGGGCAGATGGTCAAAGCCACATGTATCTTTATTTTGAACTCCTGTTGTGAAATAAATGGTTCCCATATTTGGTCAACGTTTCACTTGGTTGGGAAAAGTTCCTGCCTCTGTGTTCGCATTGCATTTCAGTCAGTGTTGGATAATGTACAGGGCTTCCTATCTAATATTATGGTGTGTGGGGTAGGGGAAGGGAGCTGTATACACTCACTGTCTTTTGGTTCATCATATGGCTGTTTTACAAATTTATATTATTGCAGGTCTTCATCATTTGGGCTGAGAGGCATTTCAGTTGCAAAGTGTACTTTCTGACAGTGGTTGCCAGTCTCGCTTCTTCACAAATCCATTTAATAACACTTTTGGTATTCTGGGGACTTTAAAAAAAATTTGTCTTGCAATTGCGTCTGATGGCTTTTTAAAATGTTTTCTTCTTTTTTTTTTTTATACTCGCTCCATAGTTAAAAGCAAGGGCAAAGCAGACTCAAGATGAAATGCTCTTTGGCAGCAAGACTGTTTTGAACACACCAAGCAAGAGGAGAGTTCCAACTGCTACAACGCCTCTTCGGACTCCTTTGAAGGCGAGAAAAGTAAGTCGATTTTACCATGACTTATAACCATTAAATTTAATTTAAAAGCAATTGGTTGTTTTGTCCACATTCATCCTCATTAATACACCACAAAAGAAAATTCTTTAGTTTTTATATGATCAATGATCATCACTCACTTTAACCCCTTCTGTGCCATGTGCCCGCTGATTTGGCGGGCCTATTATGATTTTTTGAGTAATTTTTCAACTTTTAAAGGGACAAAACTGTGTCACGACTAATCCTCATTGATATAGCAATAGTCTCCTGTGAATCTGAGCATCATTTTCATTGTTTTGAAGAAGTGAAGTGTTGATGTTCTGAGTTGTGTTTTTGCATCCAACAGACCAGTCTATCGACCTTCCTTTTTAGCTGCAGAAGTTCTTAACAAAATTATGAATGACTGTAACAGTGATGATAATGATTTCAATTGAGTTTCTGAGTTAAGGGCTTTATGTGACGCGTGTAGTAATTAATTGGAGCAATTTTCCCCTGCACAGCTATGTAGCTCATACCCGACAGTGAAGGGGTTATCCCCTTCGTTTTCTTCGTCTTATTTTCTTACATGGCGAATGAGCCACGGTGCTGCTGTGACATACAGCATTCGTCGTGTCTTTCAAAGCGTGAGGACGTTCATCATCGGTTGTATTCTGCATACTGTTTCTACTAGATGGTTTTTGTAGAACTGATTGCAGATTCACCTTCGGGAATATTTCTTTCACACAAAGAAATCTTTTCCTTTAAGACGTAGTATTTGTTAAACCGGGTCTAATTATAGGAAACTGACCACAAGTCTAGCTCTACTTTCTGTCCCTTGGGAACCAACCAAAACTGTCCCGTGGAGCACGAACTCACCCTGTGTCACGAAGGGGTCATGCTTCTTTTCTCTCTCTCTCTCTGTCTTTTTTTTTTTTTTTTTTTTTTTTTTGGAAATTGTTTCTATTGTTTAGCTGGTCTGCTTATAGATCAAAATATCACCCATTAAGTAGTCAAATTATTTTAGATGCCATCACTTTCTTCGGTAAACTCAGTTCTCATTATGTCTTAGGCCTTTTTTTGTCCTGCCCTTGTTAATGTTTCATTTTTTTTTTTTTAACATCTATCGCCCTTATCTCCCCTCCCTCTTTTTTATGTTTGTTACTCTCTTGTAACGAGCGCTTTAAAACCTCTACTAAAACAAACATTTCTACAACCCCTGTCTTTGACACCTCAGGGAAGACATCTATCCATGGCCATATTATTATTATTACGAATATTTAAGCCATGTTACTAGTTTTATACTGGTTGCTTACTAAATCGTAAGTCGGTGGGTGGGCAGCCATGTCTAATAATTTTGCTTCGTACTCTTTATAAAGTAATGTAAACAGCAGCAATCATTGATTAAAGACAGCATGATACATTAAAATACCTTGATTGCTGTTTTAATTATTTAGCTGAAGTTGAAATTATGCATCTATCTACATGGGTTTTAACCTTGTTTTGTATTGTTCCGTTAATGTAATATGTTGGCCTTCACATAGTTCCCTACTATCCTGTATTTGAAAGTTGTTTTGTTATATATCAGAAAACTGGAGATATTAACTTTCATTTGATGGGTGGAACACACACTCACTCACACACACACACACACACACACACACACCAAGCACATCGTTTAAGATTTATTCAGTGTGGCTGTATATGAGATTATATAAACTGGAGTTCACTATTTCTGTACTTAACTGAATGAAAAGTGATGACAGAAGTACAAAAATATCAAAGTTGTAAGTTTGATCTTGTTTTTAACTGCCAAATTTAACTCAAACAGTCAGTCCATTGTCATTTGCTTGTTGAGTTCTACCTCATATCATTTTTGTCATTCCGTTGCAACAAAACACAGCACATTGAAACATCTGATCTTGTTGCCTTGCTCCTTTCAAGGTGGACCACTCTTCAGTGTCTATCAAGGTGAAAGTGGATTATAGCTGTAAACACATGGTGAACTGAATTTTTTTTTTCTTCTCTTTATTTATTAAACATTTGTTTTGTTCTCTTTTTTTATTACATTTTGTTTACCCAGTTGTTCCTAACAATTCAGTTCTAGCTAACTCATTTTGATTTTATTTAATTCACATGATTAACACGTCACGTTTACAGATGAATGACTTACCAAAGACTCCTAACACGACAAGCAGATTGCCTAACCACAGCAGGGTTCAGCACAGTACAATGATTCACTCTCCCTTTTCAAGGCAGCCCTTGTACACACCCAAGGTAAAGTTAGAGGCCAATCTGAGGACTGGTAAATTATTTTCTTTTGATGCCAGAACATTTTAGAAGCTGTTTGAATTGATGTATTGTATAAAACCAGAGACATTTCAGGACTCTTGTGACTTCTCATAATATTTTGTTGTTTGTTTTATATTTGGGTGCTTTTGGTAACATTTCAGCATTTTACTGACCTTCGTGTTGTGCTTTAATCCATTTGTTTGGCCACGTAAACTTAAACCCTTGAGATACGTGTTGATTGGAAATAGGATTCTGAATCAACACACAAGGTTATATTATTTTGTAGTGCATGTGGAAGTTAATTGCATAATTGAAAATATTCAGCTTCCTTTTTTTAAAAAGACTTAAACACATCATTTTTCACAATTTTTATTGGTTACTTCCCATTCAGGGTTGGCTGTATACATATGACTGAATTGCAGTTACATTTTTTTATTTTTTTGGGGGAGATAACTTCGATAACTTTTTTCCCCAAGCCATCTCTCAATTGAAGTATTTAAATAAATTCATTTATATATTCTGTCACAGAAAACTCCTCTGGCCACATCATCATCCAGAAAGCGCCGATCTATAAGGCTAATGAAAAAAGCTGCTACAGAGAGGAAAGCTACCACAAGCAGACGCAAGTCCCGCGAATCGTTCTCACACACGACGGTAAGCAGCGAAGATCACGGCTCCACGACACTGGCCTCCACGGGAACCTACAATGACTTTGCTGTACGCTTGCCTGGATGTTTCTCCGCTCCTTGAGTGTTTATTGGTTTTTTCTTTTACTTTGTTTTGTTCCCAGTGTTTGCATGGTTTGTGTGTGTTGCGTTTTGAGAGACAGTGTTCTGTTCTGTCCAATGTTTCATGTTTTGTTTCAAAATTTGCGTGGTTTATTCCTGCTGTGTTTTTAGGACTACGTACTTGTGTGTTTTTTAACATGTTTTTGAAATATGTTTAATTTTCCCTTTACTGGATTTTAGGTTCAATTGAAAATATTCTTCTAACACACAGCTCCTCACTGGGAATGTATTTCTTACTATTGGCCTGTCAAAGGTTGAATAACATATTTTCTAATTACTCTATCAATGTTTCCAATCTTCCGTATTTTACGGAAATCGGTACATTCTGAAAGCTAAGTAATTGCTGCCTCATTGTATAAAATGAATCTGTACAAATTTGCGATGGAGTAGGCTTGCCTCCTCATCTTCTTGGATGAGTTCGGATATTTACATTAAGTCTCAGCGATAAGTTGTATAAGAAACTTGCCAGACTGCGCATATCATGTACTCAACCATTGTCCCTCTACACTTTTTTTGGTGGTAAGTCTGCCATATATTTTCACATGCAAAACTGATAAAATCTGGCTAGTAACACAATTTTATAAACAACTTTTTCCTCAAGTGAGAAAGTTAATAACATTTGATCTTTACCTTGACTGGTAAATCTATGCTTTAATCAAGTAAATTGAATTGTGTTCTTAAACATGTGAAAAAAAACATAATAAAAAATAAACTTTTTCAAATGTAATTAGATCTAGTTTTAGACACACTGTCAGGATGATTCAACGAGAGCATGATAGGCTAGGATGAAAGAAATTATGACTGTGAACTTAAGAATGAACGGTTAGGGGCTGATGCTCTTAGTTTGTTACTTTCAAACACGAAAATTGAGAAAAATAAGAGTACACACTGGGGGATTGTATAATGAAGATTGATCTTCCCAGATTGTCCTGTCAGTGGTGTAATGACATGTTGAATTATAGTGGCAATGGGAAGGGGAACTTTCAGGTATAAGCTAATTCTAATTAGGTCAAAAATTTGTTCAATGACGACATCAAATGTTTTGGGTACAGTTGAAGAAATCGGATAAAACAAGACAAACTCTTAGTGACAAAAATAGGTATTATGGGTTGTTGGCGTTCTTTCCAAATGCCATTTTCAACCCTTTATACAGACTACTTTCAACTTTCTAAAAGCACAAAATTTCAGCTTTTGAGGGGGCTTCACACCCAGACGCTGTCCCTGGACCCTGCTGGGGGTCTGTGCTGACCCCAGACCTTCAACATAGAATTTTCTTTACTTTTCAGCTGTGTCCGTTGGAAGCACTGCTTTATCATTTTTTCATTTCTGTATGGAAAGTATTTGGCTTAAACACGAGTAAGAACAGGGTTAAAATATGCCTGAACAGCCTAAAGGTCTTCTATTTTCTAAATGCCAGCACAAAATTATCTCTTCATGAGGTCAGTTACGGCGTGTGCGCCAATAGAAAAACCCTGCAAACCACACCATTTTTCCCCCCTTGGTTTTCTCAAAAAGTGAAATTTTTAGAGGGTGGGGTTACAATCATTATGATTTCTCCTAATTTAATCTCCTTGAAAGTTTGCATGTGATTGATGATCTTAAATATGGCATGATTTGTCTGAAAAATAATTGTGCTTGTGTGCGGTGGTGGGGGTTTTTTGTTGGGTTTTTTTTTTTTAATGAACAGGATTTTTCTCAGCTCTAATTTCTGGATTGATAACAACTCAACTATAATTTCTTCCCTTCGTGTACCCGATAAAACTTTGCTAATGTAATCACCCAAAATTACCTCAGATGTTAGCTAATATATACCGCCACTAATACTCACAGCAGTTTTCAATGGTATTGCGCTAAAGGTGATTGAGTAATTTGATACACAAGTTAATATCAATCTGTGGGCCTGATGCCTCTGTAACACCCTATGTAGAAATCAAAAAGTCCATTTTATCATCAGGAAATGGCTCAAATCTGTGTTTTTTTTGTTTTTTTTTGTCTTCAAAGTGTTTCCCTGTAAGAATCATTCTGATTGGTTACTGTTTTCCCCCCAAGGTTGTTTTTCTTACATCATTTTGGGGACATATTGTATAGAGGACAGATTTTTCTGAAACTGTTAAAACCCTGGCATATATATGGACACTAATTTCCATGTAAACAACCTCCTGTAATATTTCTGCCTTTTCAAGGAAATCCAGTGTTCATGAAATTTGCTGCAGTAGAAAAAGATAGAAATATGCTTCTTTCATTATTCTCTTTTTAGTGTGTCATAATAAATTTATAAAGCCATTTTCTCTTAACTGATCTCATGGAGTCTTGTGCCCTTTACTCTGTGCAATTTTCAATGGTATTGTTCTAACGGTAATTGGGCAATTTGAGCAAGATAGATAACATCATTCTGTGGGCCTGATGCCTCAATCTGACCCTGTGTGGGAACTAAAAAGTGCTATATTGCATTTTACAGAATGCTCTAACTGAACACAAGTAAAGAAAAAAGTCAGTTTTCAAAGTGTTCACCATCTGACAAGTTTTCTCAGAGCCTGGCACAATTATCAGCTGACTTTGATTTTTTAACAGCCGCCTTATTTGCTTCTCAGAACAATATTGTGCTTGCACATGTACAATTTCTTTCTTTTTTGACTATATATACATGTCTTTGAATGGGGACTGGGGTGGTAGCATAGGGGTTTAGTGTAATATGTTTGTGTGTGTACTTTATATAGTTTTCCATTTCTATAACTAACATGCTGAAGACAGTACATTGCCAGTAATGCAGAAAAATGAGACCTTTAGTTCACACTTGAACGGATGAGGCAAGGTTATTTTTATTTATAAAAATTATCATTCCAGGCTTAGGGAGGTTTAGTTGAGGCTCGTTAAATGTTGTTGTTTTTTAATGTCATGTTGAAGCTGTGAACATGTGTGTGTTCTCTGTCTTGTGTTTTTGGATGGCTCTAAATCAATGTTTTTTGTTGTGTCGTACGTTTTTGCTGCTTTAGTCATAACTTCTCATCTACTGAGAGCAGTAGATTTTTAAAAAAATTTGTGCGACTCCAGTTGGTCTATCCAATTACAGTGCTATTTTTCAGATTAGCTAAGTAAAATCAAAAACAGCTAATTAAGGATGTAATAGTGGAACTGAAAACCAAAAAATCTTACAATAAGTGTTCTAATTAGTAGTATTACAAACTTAATGTCACAATTATCTTGCTTTAACTCTAAGAAAGTTCATTTTATGTGATTTGCATACATCTCTTTTAATAGTTTTAACTGTGATTTGCATACATCTCTTTTAATAGTTTTAATATTTTTTCCTTTTTCATTATTCTTGTTCTGATTAGAATTTAATGAGTGCCTCCAAAACGTCATCGCCAGAGGTAGTGCATCATGCTTAGTTTCAGGTGAGCATGCTTTCCATAGCATGCTATTCTTCTGCAGTTTAATTTCTTTTTACTTACCCCTTCTAGGCTTTAGCTCACTGCATTCGTTTTTGCTTAAAACTACTTTCTTTGTGTTATCAGGATTGGGTTACGATACCTTTGTATATATAGTGTTATACACATGTAACGGGCTTTGGATCCCTCTTGCAAAATAATTTTAACTACTACAAACAACATGACTATATTTTTTTATATTTAGATATATATGCTGTTCATGGCATGTATTTTGCAAGATTACATGGGTTTTTGTGGGGAATTGGATGCGGATGGTGTCGCTGATTGGTCCCTTCTTTTCTTTCTTGTAGCTTTATTATTATTAAATTGATCCATTACTCCAACTTAAATTTTAGGTTTTATGTCTGTAGTAAACCCATGGTGTTTTACCTTTGCCAACTTGGAATAGAATCACTAACACTACCGTTTTGAATATATATATATCATAACTTTTGTTTCTGAAAAATTAAGTTGGGATCCCTCAGTTCTCCGTGGGTGGTTGGCGGGTGCTCTGATGTGGTTTGCTTCTTCTTTCCTATGAAACATCTATCGTCCTTATCTCCCCTTCTTCTTTTTTATGTTTGTTACTCTCTTGTAACACCTCTAATCTTCTGGCGCTCATATGACCTATTGCAGTTGCGAGCGTCGTAAAACCTCTACTAAAACTAAACCTCAGTTCTCCAGACATTGGCCTCTTGTTCCTCGCTGTTTTATTTCAAAGCTTCTGTTTTCAATTCTGCCAGTCCATATACTCTACCTTCTCGCGAATCATCCTCAAGCTGTTCTTTGCACCATGTGAAGAAGTTTCACAATTCTTTTGAGACTTTTGTATAGATTTGACGCACTTGCTTTTTTCAAAGCCTACTTTTTGTCTTGGGTTTTTTAAAGATTTTAATCAGTAAGTCATGTGGGGGTCTTACTTTAACTTTTTGGAGAGAGATGATGCTTTGTAACAATAATTTGTATCCTGTTGGCATAGAGACAAAACTTCTTCGGTTCTCCTAACTCAGATTAGTTTTGAAGAGAATTCAATTGTTTATCACTTTTTTGGATAATATAGCAAATCTCTTTTTAGTTAAGGAGGGACATTTTTTTCCAATAAAAGAATGTTAAGTCAGAAAGGAACAATACATGATTTTAAAAGGAAGAAAAAATTTCTGATAATTTTGGTCTTTATGCTGTTGCATAAGTATTTTCTTTGTAGTATAACTTTTTTTCTTCTTTTTTTTTAAACAGTACATATGTACTTGCAGATCCCAATGGTCTATCACAGCTTCTCTTCCTCTCCTCTCCCCTCCACCCCCATTTTGATGACTTGCAATGTGGCTTGCACATTCATGAAATGTTGTTTTTTTTTCAATGATTTAACACATTTGGGAAACCATTACAATTGCTGTGCATTTGAAAAAAAAAGGTTGCAATTGCATTTTATTTTGATCCGGTTTTCATCACTGGAATTATTTATCCGCTTGTACTGACTGACATACCTTTAGTGGTTTGGGGATTTTCCCTTTGATTCTTGAGTACATAGTCAAGCCTGCTCTGTCAACCACTTAAGACAATCACCTGTACCAACAACCATTCCTAACCTCCCCCTTGTGTTTTTTATTATATTAAAAGACACATTCCAAATTTGGAGAAGTCCACCTGTCTCAAACAACCACTTTTCTTCTGACAATTGGTGGCTGTATTGGACAATTTCGACTGTAGATGTTCGGCAATATTTATGTATTTTTTATGTAAAAGTAAGGCTTTGTAGATGACAGGGACAACCACATGTAATAAGTAGCACAGTTAACATGTTTATAGCTGTCTCTCACTGATTTTTCAGTCTTTGCTCTTCAGACAACTAATTAATCCGTCTCGGGTATATAATGCTTTTTTTTTTTTTTTTATAACCTATCTTGATTCTATTTTGTTAATGTCTGTTTTATTTTACTGTACTTTACAAATGTGCCATGGTTGTCTCTTATATTCAAGACAGGCTTATTTACTTTTTCTCTTTCCTCCAACTTTATCAAGTTTTTTAACATGATTTGTGTGTGTAATTTGTGAACTTTAGGAATGCTGTATATAGTGGTTTAAATAGAACTGACATTTTCTTTTTTTTCCTTGAAATTTACCTTGGTCTCAATATTATTTCAGAGTGGTCTGTCCAAGCCAAACTGCAGGAGCAGTGTCGTGCCGTCTGGAATTCTCTTCCCTCTCAACAAACGCTGACAAACCTGGACTGGACAAGCAACAGATTACTGTCATTACTGCGGCGGCCCATGTAGCCTACATCAGCATACAGAACCAGAAGTCCCACAGGGTGGGGGTATCTGTGAGGTTTTCTAAAATGGTCGTGATGCTGCTATAGGAAATTATACAATGTACATGGAAATAAATTTTTGTAACACTTTTGCGTTATGGAAGGCTATATATTATATATGTGCATATTTATTTGTCTGAAATTCGAAGTGGTCGCTAATAATAATGCAGATGTGATACTACGTTAAGAGTGACATGCTAAGAAAACAGATGTACTCTCAGAAATAAAGGAGGGTTTACCTTTATCTTGCTGCTTTCAAAATGCAGACATCTTGATTTATCTGAACCACAATTGTCAGTGTTGATAGGTAGATAGGTTTATTTGCCCTTGTTCCCCGAATTTTTAATGGCCTTTTGGCTGATGTTCGACATAAGCTTGTTGAAATGGTGAAATTGTCCTCAAGATGACTTTACTGTATTGAAAGGGCAGTATAACAGATGTTGTCACAGGTTTATTTCGAATATATTTTTATATCGTTGTGAAAGGGACACTTCAAAGAACGACTGTTTGAACTAACCATACTGTCCTCTACCGTAGCTAACTAATCCTTTTTGCCTTTTTTATGAATTTGTTATTGGGCTACCAGGGTGTTTTCATGGCAGCATATCTCATGACTCGTTCGAGCACTATAATTTATCATTTAAAAAATCATTCCATTCAGAAAATAAAAGGTAGCACAAATGGATCATGATATTGGTTACAATTTTACACAATCCTTGGCTGACCTGAGGATACTGAGCACCGCTTTCTCTCCTGGCTTCTTTCATTCACTTTTGTGCCTTGGCTCGCCTATTTTTTAAATCTGTTTCTGTGTTGAAAATTTCTCTTTGTCATAGTTGTCCTAAAACTTGTGCAGCACTGATCTGATGTAATTTTATTTTATTCTCGACAATGGAAACTATTGATGTGTAGCAGTCAAAGTTCAACATTTTTCTGTTGTCTTTTGACTGCTTCTCACCCCCATGTACATACTATAGCTGTGGTGCTTCTGTAAAAAGTTACTCTAGTAATCAAGTACATTGTGATGCAGCCCCCTCGTAGTTACATAAACTTAATGCCCATTTTCTGCATTTGACTTGTCTTTACATCTGTCTGTCTGTCTGTCTGTCTGCCTGTCTCCAGCACTGCTATGTCCCTCCCTCATCACATTGTGCTTCTTCCACTGAGATGATTTCCTTTGACTGGTTGTGACTTCAATGACAGGAACTCTACATTACAGCCTTCCTGTTTTTAATTATTATATAAATGCTGTTTGAATTGACCAATAACAATAAGTCTGATAGATTCATGTCTCGCCTCAATTTTGATCATTCAGTTTGTTTGCATGTTGTAGGTTGGGTTGCTGAATACTGCTGTAGATAGCTGGTGTTATAATGTTATATTTGTAGTCAAAAGTATTTATTTCGCCAGCATCAGCTTTAGTTAAGTGTATACTTTTATTAGCTTGGATTTGGACAACAATACTTATTATTTATTAAATTGCATAAACATCTCTATAGCCTTATTTTTTAGCAATTGTATGTGAACCTTTCTTTAGGCCAAATTAACATTGTAAAATAATTCCCACCAAACTTAGTTTTTGTCACGCTGATCATATTCATCATACAAAGTTCTTATCTCTTAAACCCATAAAATTATTCCTTTTTTTTTTCGACCAGTTGTAAGTCATATTGTGGCATATTATATATATGTATACATTTCTTATCTAGTTCTACAGCAGATAGTAAAGAACATTAGTAAGCTGTAAAAAGTGTACATTGAATTACATCAGTTTGCAATAAATTGTTTTGCGTTCACAACATATCTGTTTTTGTCTTTTGGTGAATTTTTTGTTTAGCCTCACGTACTTGGTTTCCCTACAATTCCATCATACTGACATACTCATACAATGCAATTTTTACTTTGGACAAAAGTCCCAACAGATCTTCTACTTGAACTTCTAAAGGCTGTCTTCACAGTCAAAACTGCTGTAATGACCACCTGTCCAAGACAATCACTTATTAATACAAATGACTACTTCCCATTTCTTCCCTTTTTACATAAAAAGGACTGCTGGTAGGCCTATAATACTATGTCATTTCCCTGATCCAGCAGCCATCTGAGTTCAAGCCCTTTGGCCTGTTGATATGGCAAAGAATTTATTGGATTTTTGTCATTGTGGGAGTGTTCCCGACTTCAGGGAAGAAATGACACTGTCCCAAGACAACCATTTTTCTCCACACAATTTCAACTGTATTATTACCTGTACGAGGGGCATACCAAAATTTTTTTTCCTGGCCATGAAGGAATACAGGTACAAAGCTGGAATTTGAGATGAAAACCAATCATCTTCCAAGAATGCATGTCAATTTTGGGGAATTTCTGATGACTGGTTTTGCCACCAGCGCACTGTAAGTGAATAGGGGTATGTTGTTCTACAGTTTCAACATTAAAAAAAAGAAAATTGAGCACAGGGCAGTAATTAAGTTTTGCTCTTGCAAGGCAAGGAACAACAGGATATTTTTACAAAGATGCATGCCACATATGGAACTGATTGCTCATCCTATGCATGATGAAATTTTGGTGTAAAAAATTAAAATGCGGATTCATGGATGGACATTGAAGATGGTCGCCCAGTGACAGCAACAACAGAAGAGAATGTGTTGAAAATAAAAAAACTTGTGTTGTCTGATAGGCGGGTGACAGTCGAATTTTTGAGCAAAGAAACTAGGCCTAGCATTGGATAAGTTACGAACCTTAGAGAACATTTGAATATGACCCAGGTTTCTGTGAGATGGGTCCCACATTTGTTGACTCCTCAAAAAGTGCAAACTGTGGATTATTATTAAGAATTGCTTGGTCTGAATGAAAAGGATGAAACTAAATTTTTTGAAAGACTTGTAACCTTGGATTGGATGAGACATGAATCCACCACTACGATCCTGAGTCAAAATCTGCATCAAAGAGTGGAAATCACCCTCGTCTCCAACACCAAAGAAGGCAAAGGTGCAGCCATCGAGAGGAAAAGTGATGCTATCGGTTTCTTGGGGACCAAGAAGGAGGGATATATCAGAATACTAGCTGGGCCCCCTTTCGATGAAAGGAATGATCAGTACATTAACATCAACTGAAAGTCATTGGCCTATTATAGTTAGCATACACTCTACTGGAATGGAGCAATAAATCTTGAGAGAAAAGTCACACACGTGTTTCCAAGTTGCCAAATTATATATAATAGATGCATAGAACGATTCTCTATTTCGCTTTCGTGGTTGTACACTCCAGAATTTCAAAGGTGTGGAATCAATGCAGACGGTTAGTGAACGGAAACCTCATTTGTTTACAATGGTGTCTTAGAAGACAGACTTTCCCAAGATTAGAACTCTGTGTGGACGAAACAAAGCATTTTGGAAAAATCAAAGGAAACAGTTTGCATGGATTTTTAAAAGTTAGGTCCTTGCCAAGTGAAAGCTGCGGACGCCTGCAAAGTTTCAAAGGTGTGGGTTTGGTAATAAGGGAGGAGTTTGTGCACAAAGCCTCTCAAGTCCACTTTTATATATATAATATATAGATTATGAAAATGGATTATATATATATATGGTCACTGAAGACCACTATTCTTACCAACTAAAAAATTACGAGACTATAAAAGAAAAACGCAGAGGAAAGATCCGAAAAGGCATTTTGCTGCTTCACGACAACACGCCAGCACACAATTCAAGAAAAGCTCGAGAAAATGGCTATGAAATTTTGCCTCATCCGTCCTATTCTCCTGATTTAGTCCCATCTGACTTTTTTAAATTCCCCAAACTAAAACTAAAAAGATTTAAAATGAAGGCATTTTGAAAGTGATGATGAGGTCAAAGCAAAGAAGCGGTAGTGGGCTGGTTTCCTGACATAGAGAGGGTCCTCTACTCTCAAGGTCTTTTCAATAAGGTCATACACAGATGGCAAAAATAATGTATAACTGTGGGAGGCGACTAATAAGAGATAGACTAAGCTTAGTATGTACCAAATGTCAGCTTTCTACCTTTATTCCTTCATGGTCAGGTAAAAAAAACTTTTGGTTCGCCCCTCGTATTGTATTAGACTTCATAAAGAGAATATTTTACCTTTTTTTCTTTGAGCATAATACATCGCATTGAAATTAAATTGAACACTTCTGCTTTTTCTAGTGCCTGATTCCTTTAACTTTATGGACTGAAAGGTTTTCATCTCAGCTTCCCTGACCTGTGTATGGATCACCACATTATATTATTTTATCTTTACCTTGTGGAAGCAACATGCAGCATCCAGAATGCCATTTATGGCATTTTTGACCCTATCCCTACGTCGTGTTTTACTATTGTATCCTTACGACGTGGGGAACTCTTGTGTCACCACTTGCCGAAGAGGAAATTTACTCGTTAATCCGATCCGTACGCTTTGCATAGCAGCAGTCTGTCAAAATTATTTTTGGAGAAATACTGAAAGTTTCAAAGAGATCTTCGTACTAGAAGTATTCTAAAATGTGAAGAATACAACCCCGGGGGTACAAAATGACACCAGGGCGTACATTATTATTCGTGGTTCTGCCTGTCAGCAATTCTCTTGTTCATCAGATCTTTCCAGCCTTATAAAAACAGATCAAACTGCTCAATATTCCCATCTAGGCTACCTTCAGTTGATGGTGTTTCGTGTTTTCACATGAATATCCAGAGGAGGAAAGCCAATGCCCATAGCTTCATCTGCAAGAAAATATTGACCAGCAACAGACTACGTCAAGAGAAAAACCAAACATAGATTGACTTGAGGAGATGTAATTTTTTTAAAGTGCATGTATTATATATCGTCAGTGTCCAACGCTAACCAAGTATCCCACAATTTAGGTCAAACACTTTTTTTAATCCCAAATTCTGATTCACAGATGTTTGTAATTACAACTCGTGATACTGACTAACCTTTTATTCGTACGCCCTGGGATTATTTTGTACCCCAGGGTTGTAGTTGTATTAACATTTTAGAATACTTTTAGTACGAAGATCTCTTTGAAACTTTCAGTATTTCTCAAAAAATCATTTTGACAGACTACTATACAAAGCGTATGGATAAAGGATTAACGAGTAAATTTCCTCTTTGGAAAGTGGTGGCAAAAACTCTTCACAAAATTTTTAACAATTCTGGAACACAACAAGACATAAAAGTTGTTCTTTCCCTCCCAAGAAAATTGCTCGACTTAATTTAGCGGATACATGGTAGAATCAACTGTTGTCAGATGCGGACAATATAAAAATACATCATGTACTTTTTGTCAGAGGCGACCACACGTTTTGAATAGTAGCTCATTGCCAACTTCACCAAAGCACTGAAAATGGTCCTTCAAGTCAAATCATTCCCAGACCTCAGCTGGAGGTTTTTTTCCCCCAACAGCTGGAACAGATATTGTCAGTATTCAAAATGGCCCTAATTTGGTGGTCCTACTTTTAACATGCTCTTCAACCTCCATGAAAGTGTAACTTACTGTAAGTGTAGTAGCTCAAGTCAATGCGGCAGATAGTTGCAAGTCGCCACTGGCAGGTTCTAGTTCTAGTCTCTTCTCTACTTTCCCTCTGTTATTTCTGTCTGTCTATTTTTTTCCCAGCACTAAATGAAATGTCCATTATTCAATTTATTGAGTCCAGGTGCTTCTCCTTAATCAACAAAGTGCAGCATGTATAGCTAGTTACATGTACTACTTGTGACAAAGCAAACACAGACTTTTTTTTCGAGTTTGACTTTTTTTTAGCTTAACCACAAAAAGCAGAGGAAAATATTGGTCACTTTGTGCTGGAAAAAAGTATCAACAGAAGCAATATAAGGTAAAGTCGGACCTTCCAGTAGTACTTTTCAACCACCTGCATTTTAGTTAGACCCAATTTCTGAGATCTGAAGCAATAAAATCTGAAAGACACAAGTAGATATAGAGTAGATAGGAAAACAACCTGAAAGTCCTAAAGACTAAGAGGCTAAAATGTTTGTATCGCCAATCTACATTTTGTCGCCGTCCTTCAACATTGTAGGCCCTAATTGTAGTAAAAATTTTGAAAAAATGAAAATCTAGTGTGTTGTGGAGGTTGATGAGGTATCTGGATCCGTCTTATAATTTTTCAGCATCAAAAGTTAAATTACATTGTAACTTGTATACAATGTTAATCATTCCATCTGATTGCTATTTGGTTCTCATATATAGTAGTACATTGTAGTAACTTCCTGTAGTATGACTCATCATGGCGATGACAAGATAGTAGTTGCCATTTCTTTTTTGCTTCCTTCTTTGTGCAGCATTACAAAGTCCTGTATTTTCCATTTAAATGGAAAGAGTTGTGGCGAAAGATGCAGGTAAATAGTAAAGAGTTGAAAGTAGGAAGCAAAGGGGTAGGCTGCCCCGTTACTCAAACAAACTGCAGCAAACAACTTATAAAAATTCAGTTACCAAAATAGGAAACAAAAAAGGTACTTTATTTTCTATTTTTGACAATGGGGTGTATCACTTTGTATGAAAGAAGGCAATTTTTCCTCGGAGTCTTCAGAGGGTTTGAAGTAGGGCCTTCATGTATTCACGACTGACAGCACGGGTGACCTGAAAAACATCTTGACAACATTTATTCAGCTTTGTGAAAGCCCCATGGTACATGTACATGTTCGCAGTCTTGACAGTTTTTCCACTCCAACAGCTCTCCTGTGAAGTAGATTTCCCTCACTGGATGTGCCGCCTTGGAGTTGGAGATGCAATAGGGTCTTCCCTAGTCCTCTTTTCTCATCTGTTCAAATCATAAAAGTTGAAAATAAAGTGAAAGCAATTTAAGGAAATAATCATCTAACGAACTCAGTGGTTTCTTTCGCAATTAAAGGAAATGCGCAGGAGATCTGGGTCTAACCTATAGTGGGTGGTGCCTACGTTATAGGTGCAAAATCCAGGTTGAGTGAATTGACATAACATACACCATGTACCAGTACTTGGAAAAAATCAAAATACAGTCTATATGTGCGAGAGAAATTGACTGGACACGGAAATCTTTTCATTATGGTATGCGTGAATTTTGCTTTTTAAAAAAAGTTTTAGTATGAGTTTAAATTAACGGCACTTGCAACACAATAAAGTTGTATAACCTAGTATTATAACAGCCGAAGATTAGAGTTGCTACAAGAGAGTAACAAACGCAAAAAAAGAAGGGGAAGAGATCAGAACAACAGATCATGCTTGATAGGAAAGAAGGAGCAAACCACATCAGAGCACCGACCAACCACCTGCAAAATTCTCTTTGTAGATGTTTTAAAGTTAAAGAATGTGTAAAAGAGAAAATTTGGGACCTCAAATCAGTTTGCAATGTGCTTGCTTGACGGTACATTCATAAATTTCAGTTCTTACCTTTTTTCAGTCACAGTCTCACACTCTCCACATTTATCTATAAATAAAAAGGGTCACCCCTTACCTCAAACCCAATAGGGTGATGACGTCATTAAACTGCAACATCCACTCAACTTGTCTGCTTGCCCTCAGAGAAAGGCTTCTAAATTGGGTTTAATAAAAACCAATTCAGAGCCAAGACTGACAGTGACAGTTCAAGTTACTATGAGAAGGAAAAAGAAAATGAAATTTTGAAATTTTATCATTCAAAACAGTAAATATGCTACTATAATAAACTGTGACTAATTCATTGTCAAACTCATCATAGGTACCACCCGATACTTAAGTCCACAACTTCCTCCGGTAGAGGTAACCAGTTTTTGTTTTTTCTTACCTGCATTTTTTAATTTTTCAAGCTGCTCAGGAAAATGGAAAATGAAGCCACATTAGTTTACTTTGACAAGAATCGAATTTTCTCTCTGTAAGAAACATCCTAGCATGCTCACTTCGGAAAAGAACATCAGGAAAAAAGCCCAAAAGGAGCAATAAATGAAACAGCAATTCCTTCCTAGTTATGTCCACAAGTGTAAACATTGTGGTCTCCCTTTCTAAAACACTACAATTTTCTCAAAGATACATAAAAAAAATTTTTAGATCTCCACCTTTCTCCATACACTTATAATATAAAACAATTTATTTTTCCCCAAGGCCAAACCCAAGAAACTACCTTCACCTATCCTCTTGATTTTTAAGGAACAATATGTTGGCAATCTTGTTTTTAAAACATTGCGTTAAGTTTTTAAGTTCAATTTCTTAAAAATTCAGTTACTCGAAATTAATGACTCCTGGAAATAAAAATTGTATGCATATATATAGGTTTAACACGCCTTTCAACACTGCACAGTTATTTTTAAGAGGCGGGACATCCGAATGTAGTGTTCATTTCTGATAGGATGAAGCTTAGTCGTTTGAGAGCCTTCAAAACTCTCATTACCCCCCCCCCCTCCCGGTTCAGAACACCCCATTGAGGATTCGATCCAGGGTACTAACTGAGCTAACGGTGCACCCACAACTCCTGGTAACTCTTGAGTCTGCAAAAATTGTTAATACAATTGGAATTATAGGGCACAGTATGAGCTGAACGACCTTTCCAGGGCAGATAGGTAATCCCTCCAAAGGCCAGTCCTCTGACAGGGTCAAACTACACAGGAGAAGAAAAATTATTTCTCAAAGAATCAAGTTCTTTTTTTTTTTTAGTAAGAGTTTTACGGCACTTGCAACACAATAAGGTCATATAAGTGCCGAAGATTAGAGGTGTTACAAGAGAGTAACAAACACAAAATAGAAAGAGAGGAGATTTAAGGACGATAGATGTTTGATAGAAAAGAAGGACAAAACCACACAAGAGCACCCACCAACCACCCACGAATCAAGTTCAAGAATTCCCCATCATGCACAAACCAAAACTACCTGCATAAGTCCAGCAAGATGCCAACTGAACTAAACCCACAATCAGATCCTGTAGACGCCCAGCTTCATGAGGGAGCACAATGAATGAGCTTCCACCAACTTACCTGAAAACTGCAACAAAGGCAATTTTGACAAGAAGGACAACTGGACAATAGCACAAAAACTGAGGACGTCCCGAGTTGAAAAGAACAAGAGATAGAAGTAAGAAGTGTAGGAGATCACACAAAAACAATTGGTTTCACTCAGATCTGAAGATCACCTCGTTTCTGGATATTCGGAGGGCCCTGAAAAGGGCCCAGAGAGGGAAAGACAGCTGCAGAGAAGGAAATGAATCCATGTGGCAATATAACTGTGATAATCATGACATAATGAATGATATGAAAATTGAAATCTGTTACGGCCAGGTCAGCATCTTTGCTTAATACTGAACTGTAAGTCTTTTGTCTTTACCCTAGGTCAACAACTCCATGCATGTGCCATTGAACTTTGGATCAAGCAGTGAAACCCATTCCAAAATCTGTAATGTTCAAGCTAGTACTGATTGTGTACAGCCAAAGAACAAAAAAAGTACAAGATTTCTCTCTCATCTTACAGTTTTAACTGCATTGATCCCAACATACTGTCCTCTGAGAAGTGAACACTGTTGTTACAGTGAATTCATAAAACCAATCAAACAATCCATCCTGCAGAAACAGAACCACTTCACATTCACCTCTTAATACATTCTTCATTCTTTAAATCTGAACAAAAAAACCCACCTCAACTTTGTATCAAAAAGCGATACATTTAAGTCTTGGGTTTTCACATCATCGAGGACCATGCTTTGTCCATTTCACAACAATGTCAACAGAATTATATAACAATTTTAAAAAATAACCAACCAAATGCAACTTCCATAAGAAAAGTGAAACTTCAATAGATTACAATTTAAGCCCCGACAAACATATAGGTTGAATTATAGGCTACTTTTACGTACTACTGTAAATATTTCCATGCCTCCTTTGATGTCGTATGCAGGTGCATGGCTGAAGCAGGTTCCATTCCTTTTTTTATTTTTTTGAGGAGGAACATCCACAGGAGGTAATTTCTTTTTTCCCCCTTAAATATTGGTCTTTTTTTTCTTCTTTTGTTTCTTTTCTCTGCTTTGTAAATAATTTATATATATCCATTAGTGCTTTTTTTTTTTAAAGACAATAGTTTTATATTCTTTTTTTACTTTTTTTGGCTATATATTTTAACCCCCACCCACCCCATCTTATACTATTTTCCCATTACATAACATTTATTTAATAAAAGTTAATACATTTCTTCACAGACATGTTGCAAAACTAACAAAAGAATGTGTAGCATATTGTGCAGAACTCACAACTCCCAAATTGGGAAAAAGTCCACAAATGGTACTCGTCTTTATCAAGCAATGGTCTCTCTACACATTGTCCATCAAGATTCTTCTTCCTGGCCGCCTAGATGAGTAATGAATGAAGTATGAGATGAACCAGTGAAATACACAATGTATAAACAGTATTGTACAATGTAAAAATCTCTGCAAAACACTCTTGCATCCTACATTTGCAAACATCACACTCCCAAGCATTGTTTATAACAAATGGTTGATCCCGTTTGATATGTTATTTAGCTCGCCATGGCAATGGCATGTCACATATATAAATATGCTCTCATGCCACAAGGACCTTTAAAAATCCTTCAGGGTAAAAGCACCATCAACATTAAAGGAATGTACACAAGCATTATCAACCAAATGCTTCCTTACTTCTGCTTCTTGCATTCCATTTACACTTTTCACAAACAAACCTCACAGACACACCAAAAAAAATTATAATTGGAAACTTAACAATTTGCCATCATGTAGCCCACTTGATTAAAAACATACAACAGAAAACTTAAAAGTACCACTTTAACTTGGTGTACCCCATTGCTCATTTCAATTTTTTGGAACGCAATATTGAACCCAAGAAATAGTAACCATTTTAAATTATCACATAATGCACTGAGAAAGTAATGACAAGAACTATTTTTCCAGAGAAAAATTTTCAGATCTTAAAATAAACAAATTGTATTTCTGATTCGAACCATCCCACCAGCTTAAAACCCAAAAAATGGGAGATTTAAAGACCATCTAGGACAGACTTAAGATTCTTTAACAACTGAATAATGTGCTTTAAAAAAAAGAGAAACATTCTAAAGACTTGGTCATGAACACAGCTGTAAGTTCAAGTTACTTTTCTCAACTAAAGGAGACAGATCTACTTTAGGAATCCACTTTTGTTTTGATATCAGCTCAACTGTTTTACTGCCGAGCAGATTTTGTTTCAAGTTGGTTCTTAGTGAAGAGGGTAACAAAAGTACCACTGTTTGCAAGCCGTGTTATGTCTACTTCTGTCCAAACCTACATAAATTCTGTTGGTTCTTTGTGCTAACATAATAGCACTATACAGAGGATTTTTTCTTAAAAGGGGAAAAAAAGAGAAAAGAACTTTTTCAACTGGTGTTGTCATTACACAAACAGTCTCAAATCATGCGTACAGTTGTAAAAATCAAGCACTTGACATTAATTCATACTTTGTCATTGAACAATACATAAGTCAGATGATGAGATGAGATCGAGTTATATTGCCACAGGAATCTTTTGAAAAGAGAAAAGACAGCTCATTGCAATATCAGTAACTTCTTTTTTCCTGCCCAGAAATTTACAACAGCTCCACATTCTCCTAACAACATACGCCATTACAGTTTATAAAATCAATCATTTCAGAAAAAAATATATATTTCTAAAGTGAAGCAAATGAACGAGTGCTTGCTTGGGCCAAATCAAGTTGGGTAAAAAATTTCAATTCCAAATGCAAAGCTGATTTTTTTTCACAAAAATGTCTAATAACCTGCTAGATTCTTAAAAGAAGAAATAAAATCAGAAACCAAACAAAGGGCTATAAAGAAGTAAGAAGATCAGAAATATGGGTGTGTCTTGATGAAAGATGATGGATGTAATGAATTAAATCCATTAATTTCATATCCATTTGAGCCATTAACAAAATTCGTTGTCCATAAGTACATCATCATGCCAGTCTTTACTCCTGACACTTTTTTCTATGCAGCAACATGACAGCCCAGCATGACTTGAAGAGATCTGCCCACAGTAAGTGGAGACTTTGGTGTCGATTTTAACCACTCTATGGGAGGCAATGGCACCTGACTAGGATGTGGTGCTGGAGAAGCGGCGTCCATCGCGAAGGCATCACAGATCTGCCGGGAGCTGTAGTCAACATTGCTGTCAGAGTCTGCGGACTGAGACAAGAGAGAAATGTCTGCTGAACTGCTACAACTGCTTATCTGGGCAGAGACAGCCAGGTCGTCTACTGCAGTGCTGCTGCCTCGGCATGACATGGGCTTAGAGTTACCCCTGCCCGATGCATGAAGATGCTTCTTTTGAGTCTTTGAAAAATGCACTTTTCTGCTGGGGGAACCGGGCTGCTTGAAGTCCTCACACAAGCCTGGACTGGCTTGCATCTCACTGCCTGAGATAAACACAGGACTGCTTGAGGCATGTCTACTGTGACTGTGGCGCCACAGTTCTGCTGGAAGCTTCTGTCCGGCTGATGATGGCATCTTGTCAGCTTACGTGCTGGGGAACAAAAGAAAGGAGCATTAAATTCACACACTAATTCAAAACGATAAAATTAAAACCATTCTTTTCAAATCTGAAACATTTTCCTGAAGTAAAAACAAGTAAAAAATGAGTGGAAAGTTTCTAGAGAAGACTCCTCATTACTAAGTTTTAAATATTTCTTAAATTTATTTTCAACTCTAGAAAGTCTGCACACATCTATAGACTTAACACTGAATTTGCATAACCGCTATGGCTCATCTATTCAGTAAACACTGAGGGTGATCCTTTGTAACTTTGTAGTAAAGAAAAGAGTTTAATCTTATCCAGTCCAGTTTTTAACAGGTCAGAAAAGGAAAGAATTATGTGTGCTCTAGAAATAACGTGTTTGAAAGCAGTTTTGCAGCGTGTTTTTGTACATTCATTTTCAATGCTTATTGGATCTTAACAACAAAAACAAAAAATGTGCAAAGCATCTGGCTCACTAAGTAAGGTGAAGCAAATAAAGAGCTAAAAGAGAGTGAAAATAATCATTCTAAAAGTCTGATGTCAATGTTTTTGACAAATCAGTGACCCAAACCAAACTTTAAAAAAAACACTGACACTGAAACCAACAATAGGTAAAGGAATGAGCAAGAGAATGACAAGACTGGGTTATTTATTTCCGTCTACATCAAAATTGTGGACAGAAGAAGGGAGGACAGCATTGAATCATATGGGAAGAAGAGACTGGAGGCAAAAATGAACCAATGTACTCCTCACACAGTAACACAAAAAAGTTTGAAAAAAATACAGCATCTGACGAAATGTCAGAGTCCCGTCTGACCATCATTGTAAACATGCTTTCTAATGATAGGCCAGTACAGGATAATTGTGTACTATCACTCCCACACCCTGAGGCACCTTTTTCATGTAATCGGAAATCAAGTGTGCACACGAGTGTAAAATAGAAGCATTACAGTTGACGGTCAAGTAGACAAGCGACGGATTTTTTTTTCCCTTTCTTTCCTCATTTGTCACAAACAAGATCTGCTTGTCAGTACTTCAAATGTACCCTATCTATATCATCACTATACATAAATCAAATCCTCATTTTATTCTGAATGTTTGGTGGGATAATACATGTGTCGCGACGCGGTGTATTCAGGTGCTTGTCAATTTTTGGGCAAGAGTTGCCCATCATCTGAAAGTGAAAGCTGACTTATTATCCATTTATCTTGAATAGAATTTAAAATATTAGCGTTGAAAGAAGTGAGGTCGTCTGGTTGCAGAGGTAAAATTAGCAAGAAAATGGCCGCCAAAGACCATTAAACTCCAATAGCTAAAGAGTCTTTGAAAACTGAAAAATTACATGTTTTGTGCATTTAATCAATGTTTTTCAGCAAAATTCACATGGAAATGTGTTTTAATAGGCTATATGGACCTAAAAGAGGTTAAGCCCCCCAAAAAAAATTTCTATAAAAATTTCCAAACTAGCGATAGCGGAAAAACGCCTGTTCTCTAATTTCGTTATTTTGACGAGCGCCTGATTTAACCACGCTGCCTCATATATCTTATCGTTATTCGGACTCGAGTCCGTATAACATTTTTTCATATTCCGACTCGAGTCCGAATTTAAAAAATTCTTATTCGGACTCGAGTCCGAATATGAAAAAATGTTATTCGGACTCGGGTCCGGAAAAAAGGAAGTGTCTTCGTTCTATAGATCTAACGTTCAGTGCTTCCAATTTTCCGCCATTTTTAGTTTCCCCCACACCTTATCTGCCGATCCAATGCCCGCCGCCTCATTGATACGCCCCCCCCCCACGTTTCCCACTTTCTTTGTTGTAGAAAAAAGTAAAATTGAAGATTAGCAGACCACTTGGCACCTGCATATTATGAGCTGTGTAAAAAAAAAAAAGACCGATTCGTTCAAATACACAAGCCCAAGCCTGTGTCATATCGATTGTTTACCAAGAAAAAGTTGTGTTGCTGTGTAGAGCTGAGCATACGGCAACTTTTGATTCCATAGACCAGCGCACAATTCATTACGTAGATCTACGTCAAGACTAGCTTATTATTGTAATAATGATCAGTTGCCGGGGGGGAAAAAGACTGACGCGTATGCGACGTTCAAAGCCCGGACCAATAGTGCCCCCTCACCACCCTCCCCGACACGCACACAGCCACACGTGTGCAGGACGCCCATCCGTCCCCGACACACGCTAACGAGCCATCTTTAATTGCTTCTGAGGACCTCTTGACAAATAAACATTTATTAGAAGCGCTATAACTTTTCAGGCCGGCCTCAATTTCATCATAAGATTAAAACTCGGCTCCTGCACAAAACGCCTTTTTGCCCGAAGTGATCCCGGTCTCTACCCAGCATGAGGGGAATCACGAGTGAGGCAGGACAGGAAGCTGGATTCACGAGTCACGGGAAGTCGGAAGTGATGTCACGCTGGACAAGAATCAGAGTCCGAATAACATTTTTTCATATTCGGACTCGAGTCCGAATAATCACTTCGATATCTTAATGAATGCTTATATTATCAATTATCCTCCATTAAACTTACAGCCGCTTTTCAATGAAGGTCTACTGCAATGTTTCTGGTTTAGTTGACCATCTACAAGGCTTGGGACTATCATTGGCCATGTCAAAAATGCTTTGGTGGTTGCACTTTGTTGGGCGGAGAAGTTACAGGGGGCTAGTCTGGTAACTCGCTGTTGCGACTTCGTTACTTGTCAATTATCATCTTACCACCGTAAAATTCTTTGATCTATGAAGCAATCCACCCACCCACACACTTCAATTGTAAAAGCCACCACCTTTGATAGAAACGCCCCCAGCACAGTCGTGTCAGCAGCCAATAAGGCAGGACTTACACTACGCTAGTTCATAGTACACTGTTAACCAATTTCCTACTTCCTTCAAGAACTCTCCCTTCCTTCACTCAATTTAATGCAAACTTTACAGATGGACTGTAAGATAGTGTAGCAAGTGGTTCGCTGGGAATAGTACTGATAATAAAGACTGCCTGCTTGAGAGCAGGGAAGAAAAGCCAGTATTTGCTGAAAAGCTCATTCTTTTTATAATCATGGCAAAGCAGGAAGTGACAGCAGATAAAACTGTAACGCCTAGTCCACTACTCATAAACCAATACTACTTCAAATTTTAAAATATTGACAGGAACTTCTGGCTCTCAAACTGTTTGACCCAACTGACTTGTGTACAGATGGCTTAACTCCAACATTAGCAAAACAAAAACAACTTAACTACTAAACAAACCCAAAATGAATCCACAACACCTAGTCTGTCATCAGAATGCAACTCTTTTTTATTTAAAAATGCATTAAACACCACTTACTGCCAGTTTAAACATTTTAACTGAAAAACTAACATTGGAAAAACTTTTAAAGAGCTGTGAAAAACTGACCAACGTTGCAGTACAGTAACAATTCTTCATTCTTGAAATTTTTCGAATACTGATTAATGTGGCTGTTGACAAGCAACCCAAAAAATGTATTTAGAGGTGCATGAGACTAAGAGGTGTGCTCAGAGGGGGGGGGGGAAAAATGTGATTCTACTAAAGTTGACCTCAAAACGAGAGAGCACAAAAGTAAGCTAATTTGATCGTCTTCAAAGATGCTATGGCTATTTCACTTTTCGAATCAAGCCGAACTACGCGGGTCGCCATTTTGTTTTGCCCAGAAGTTCTCGCAAGATCTACTCCTCCCCCCTCTCTCTCTCTCTGTCTCTTTCTGAATACCGTCTATCGGTGTGGACGATCAAATTGACCAAAACAAAGTTTAAAAATGATGTTAAAAAACAAAACTAAATTAATTTGGTCGTCTACAAAGATGCTACGGATATTTAACTTTCCGAATCGAGCCGAACTACGCGGGTCGCCATTTTGTTTTGCCCGGAAGTTCTCGCGCTACTCCTCTCTCTCTCTCCACTGCCCACAGACAAAATTGCACGCTTTTAGGCTAACACTAACAGTAGTAATAGATCTAAAACGTTTGTTCACCGCACAGAATTCTGCAATTCTGTTATCACAGTGTAGAATTCTGTGGTTCAGGGTGAACGCTTCACTGGTTGGCCAAGGCTATAACGGTGAACGCCCACCGGGTGAGAATAGCCAAAAGACTCGCCTGCGCTATTCTCACCCGGGGTGAGAATAGAGGTGACCATTTTTTTCTTGGCTTTTATCCATTTGATCATCCACACCGATTTCACACGGAAGTGGCTATTTCTCATCCGGGGTGAGAATAGAAATACGATCGACCTCTCACCACGGGTGAGACTTGCGACCGTAGGCTATTTTCACCCGGTTTGAAACAAGACCTGTTTTTCCTAATTTCGAAATACTTTCTATTGATGTGGATGATCAAATTGATAAAAGCCAAGAAAAAATTACGTTATTGCACAAAAGTAAGCTAATTTGATCGTCTTCAAAGATGCTTTGGCTATTTCACTGTTCGAATCGAGTCGAACTACGCGGGTCGCCATTTTGTTTTGCCCGGAAGTTCTCGCAAGATCTACTCCTCCCCTCTCTCTCTCTCTCTGTCTCTTTCTGACATTTCTGAATACTGTCTATCGGTGTGGACGATCAAATTGACCAAAACAAAGTTAAAAAATGATGTTAAAACACAAAAGTAAATTAATATGGTTGTCTACAAAGATGCTACGGATCGAGCCGAACTACGCGGGTCGCCATTTTGTTTTGACCGGAAGTTCTCACGCTACTCCTCTCTCTCTCTCTTTCTCTCTCACTCTCTCCACTGCCCACAAACAAAATTGTACACTTTTAGTAGGCTACAGTTGTAATGGAACGTTTGTTCACGGCACAGAATTCTACAATTTTTCTGTTATCAAAGTGTAGAATTCTGTGGTTTAGGGTGAACGCAAAATTTGTTGGCCTAGAGATATAGGCTATAACGGTGAACGCGCACCGGGTGAGAATAGCCAAAAGACTCGCCTGCACTATTCTCACCCCGGGTGAGAATAGCCTACGGTGGCAAGTCTCACCCGGGGTGAGAGGTAGATTATATTTTTATTCTCACCTCTCACCCCGGCCCCGGGTGAGAATAGCCACTTCCTTTATTTTTATCTAATCTAGATCTAGATCTAGATCTAGACTAGATTCTAGATCTAGAGATCTACAATCTAGATCTAGATCTACAAACTCCTTGAACACCCTTCAGCAAATCTCACTGAAAGAGACTGAAGCGCACGTATCAAGCAGGCCTACAATCCTACAAACTACAAGTACAAGACTAGGCCTACAGCATCAACAATCCACAAACAACTTTCCAATATTGACAATCTAATTTATGCAGAACAAGAAATAGGTTCAGCACAGGGCCGACGCCGAAATAACCGCTAAATTTAGATCTCCAACTCAAGCACACGGCTAAACCACCTTCTGAAAATAGTTAAACAACAAATAAGTACAAAATATCAATTTAGTACCAGTAAGATGCACTGTTGTTTACCAGTTTTCAAGGTCTCGGCTGCAGCTGGGCAAGCAGCTTTATCGAGAGCAAAGTGCAGGAGTTAACCAATGGCATGGCTCAAAAGCTGCCAGCAAAATAAGGGCAAGGACATAGCCTACGCTAACGGAACAAAGACTGTTTACCTCCTCGTCCTCACAGTAACAGCTTGACTTGGGTGAAACTGTCAAATATGTAAAGATCCTAACACAGTCCAACTTTCTCCCGTAAAAATTCGAACACTTCGAAACAAAATCTTGCTATCTGGCTGAACAAAATTCGTGTGAACACAATGTTGATCTCGAAAAATATAATTTCATCTCACTCTTTCCGAAACAACGTCCTTTCTCCTTCATGACTTTCATCTCAACAAGGAACCTGTATGGCTATGATGTCATTGTCCACCAATCAAATAGCGTTTATTTTGAGAGCCAATGAAAATGCGTTTATTTCTGATTATGTCTCCTTGTACGTAACCGTATAGCCTGGCATAATTTTATTGCACCACTGCCAACTTGTCTTCGGTTTAACATAGTCCTCACTTAATAATACAAAAGGAAGTTTTTTTGTGGTTAAATTTACTACAAAATGACATCTCTGCTTTAAATGTTATGTGTATACAGTACTAATAATTGAAAGCTCCATGAACTTACATATAATATAATCAAGGAGCTATCCAAAAGAACGGTTCTCAGGGTGGGGACAAGTCATTGCGTAAACTGTCCCGTACAATCGTGGTTTCTCCCAATTACCTCAGGTCATGAAGTTATTTATAGTACTGAAGTCAGCGTCGCAGCCAAAAATTCTTTGTCGCAACCTGTGCTGACTCAAGACCGAAAAAATACCAAGTTGGTCAACACCGAAGGCCGTGACTGTGCAGACCTAGTTGCATTTCACCACATAGATCTAATTCTAATAATGTTTGTGGAGGTTGCATGGGAGACCCCACTCTTTTTTACCTCCAGTATTCCCTTCTGGGTTGCTGTTGCAAATTATTACCCCTTTAACTTGTAGAACACATGTGTACTTTCTACTAATAAAAATAAAATAAATAATTTTTTAGATTTTGACATAGGCTAAAGAGCCTTGGACCTTGAAAAATTTAGGGCTGTTTTTGTTTGTACGAGGGGGGGGGGCAATATAATATGTATTGTAAACTTAATCATTCTAATTATTTCCCGTTGCCACCCACCCACCCCCATACCCCACCCCTTATTTCACATTGAATTCCTCAGACCTACTTCTCTAAATTAATATCTTTCTGTCGTCCTTCGCATCTTTCTGTGTTCTTTTCCCAACGGCAACGTCGTTTTCCAGTTCTTTTTCCTCCTCCTCCTCCTCCTCCTCCCTTCTTCTTCTCTTTCTCCTCCTCCTCCTCCTCCTCCTCCTTCTTCTTCTTCTTCTTCTTCTTCTTCTT